ACTCGGGAAAACCCACAAATCTAGTATAGTAAGTTTGCTTTCAAAATAGAATACTCTGCTGCTAGGCTTGTTCTTAAGGCAAAAAAACGCGATCACGTCACTCCACTACTCCACTCACTACATTGGCTCCCTATACAGGCACGCATTGACTACAAGCTGTCTCTTCTTTGTCACAACTTTTTCTCGGATTCCTGCCCTTCCTATCTAACTGAACTTCTTTCTGTCTATTCACCCCTTCGACAACTTCGCTCCTCCGCAGACTCGCGTATTCTGTCCGTTCCCAAGACACGCACTAAATTATATGGTGAACGATCTTTCTCTTTCTGCGCCCCCAAACAATGGAATTCTTTGCCACTACACATCCGCAATATAACAACCACACAGGCCTTCAAAACTGCACTCAAAACACATCTATTTAAACTATACTACTCTGACTGATTCTCCTCCTATAAACCGATAAACGTACATGGGTTTCCTTGTAAAAATGTCTGGTGTGGGTGGATGAATATACCTATGGTGTTGTTTTGCTTATATGTTGTTTTTATTTCATTTATGTATTTTATTTTAATATTATGATTATGCCTCTTTGCTATATATGTACAGCGCGGTGAGCCCAGCCCTAGGCCGGGGTACCGCGCTATATAAGACCACTTATTATTATTATTATTATCAAATATTTAACTCTCAAATTCAGATAAATATTTCAAATAATTCTTTAATTATTAATTTTTTTTTTACTTAGAATAATAATAGTTACATTGTAAAGATTATATATATTTATTTACTCATAGACATATTTATTTTATAGGATTTAAATTAATTTGATTTTCATGAACTAAAACATAAATTTCTAACATTGCTTTTAAGAAATCCCTTTAGTGCATAAATGTTTTGTGCAGTTGCAGGGAATTTTATATTGTGTGCTATTGAAAGTTGGCTGACACGCAAATTTGTGAATACCGAAATTGTTAAAAAAACGGTAAAATCATGAAAATATGTTGATATAAATACACAAATACAATGCGGGAAGCTAGGGTAAGAATACGGGAGTAAAACCAAACTGTAAAATCCGGAGATGGAGTCCCGAAGTCGATCTGACGCCGATAACTATGTCATTTTGTCAACTCCTGCGACGCAGTCAGTGCCAAGCTGTATTGACAATTGTCATTCCCTTGGGTCTACTGGTTGCGTGGAGAGTTGGGATCTGCTGCATTGGGCAACAGCTGGTCTCCATAAATCACTGCCCAGGCTAAGTAGCTATAATAGCGACGTCACTTTACGTAGAGCAAGTTTGTTTCGCAAGGCAAAGAAGGTCATTAGGAGGAAGACTCACCCACTTCACTTCACAACATGGAATGTGAGAACCATGTGTCCTGGATTTGAAACGGACCTTGATCAGATTGACAACGCAAGGAAGACTGCCGTCATTGACAAAGAACTCGCGAGACTAAACATTGATATTGCAGGCCTTCAAGAGACCCGACTAGCAGATAGTGGCACCATAAAGGAAGCCAGCTACACATTCTAATGGCAAGGGAAACCCGCAGATGAACCTAGATGGCATGGTGTTGGATTTGCCGTAAGAAACACATTATTGGCCTGTATTGAACATCCTTCTTTGGGATCGGAGAGGATTCTGAGACAGCGGATGTCATCATCTGCTGGCAAGGTCAACGTATTCAGTGTGTATGCTCCAACTCTTCATTCGACTCCAGAAGAGAAAGATTTCTTCTATGAGACCCTGGACCAAGAATTATCAAGTGTTCCCAAAACCGAAGCATTGTACATTCTGGGAGACTTTAATGCTAGGGAAGGAGCTGATCAGGAAGCCTGGCCGTCATGTCTTGGTTATCACGGATTAGGAAGGATCAATGAAAACGGACAATGTCTGCTGGAGCTGTGCTGCTCCCATGGTCTCTGTGTTACAAATACCTTCTTCAAATGTAAATAAAATCCAAAAGGTGTCATGGCGACACCCACGTTCCCGCCACTGGCACCAGCTAGACCTAGTTATTTCTAGGCGCTTGGAATTAGCTAGTGTACTTCACACACGCAGCTACCATAGTGCCGACTGTGACACGGACCATTCTCTAGTGGCATGCAAGATACGACTAATGCCCAAAAAATTGCATAATGCTTAAAAGACGTGTCGTCCACGAATAAACATCCACTGCTCAAACAACCCAGAAAAAACGCAGCAATTCTCAAAAGTGTTGCAGGACACCCTTGCTAAAGGATCACACGATGGAACTATTGACTCTAAGTGGAGCCATTCACGAGATGCTGTGTACGATTCAGCCATGTCCCTCTACGGTAAAAAGGAGCATACAAATAATGACTGGTACGAGGCGCATTGAAATGTGATGGAACCCGTAATCGAGAGGAAGAGAAGAGCCCTACTTGCTGATAGGGAAGCACCTTGTGCTAGTACACTGCAGGCTCTCCGCACCGCAAAAAAATTATCACAGCAGACGGCCCGCCACTGTGCCAACACTTACTGGCTAGACCTTTGCAATCTCATACAATCGGCTTCAGACAACGGAGATGCAAGGAGCATGTACGAGGGCATTTGGTCCACACACGTCAAAAATAGCACCACTCAAGTCCAAGACGGGTCAAATTATCAAGAACCCAAATGATCAACTCCAGCGTTGGGTAGAGCACTATCTTGAGCTCTACTCTACAATGTATGTAGTTACTGAGACCACTCTCCATAATATTCCTGCCTTGTCAGTAATGAATGAATTGGATGAAGAGCCAACTTTGCAGGAGCTCGAAAAAGCCATCGATTACCTTGCGGATGGGAAGGCTCCAGGGATCGACGGCATCCAAGCGGAAATCCTCAAAAATGGAAAACCTATCCTACTTCAGCCCTTACATGAGCTCCTCTGTCTGTGTTGAGAAACAGGACGCATTCCAACAGGACATGAGAGACGCCAACATCGTAACATTGTATAAAAATAAAGGGGACCAAAGCGACTGCAATAACTACCGAGGTATTTCTCTCCTTAGCTTAGTTGGAAAGACTTTTGCTCAGGTTGCCCATAAGCGATTGCAGAGCCTTGCGAACCGCATCTACCCAGAGTCCCAGTGTGGCCTCAGGAGTGGGCGCTCAACAATAGACATGATATTTTCGCTACGCCAAATGCAGGAAAAATGTCATGAACAGCATATGCCTCTTTATATTGCCTTCATAGACCCGACCAAGGCATTTGTCTTGCTAAGTCGAAGAGGCCTTTTCAGTATCCTGCAAAGAATAGGTTGTCCCCCACAACTACTCACAATAATACAGTCATTTCACAAAAACATGCACAGCACAGTAACTTTCAAAGGCACTGTCTCTGAGTCATTTCCAGTTAACAGCGGAGTAAAACAGGGTTGTGTACTGGCACCAACGCTCTTTTCAATTTTCTTTTCGATGCTCCTTCAATTTGCTTTCAGTGACTGTGAAGATGGAGTGTACGTCCAAACAAGATCTGATGGAAGACTGTTCAATATCGCCCGCCTTCGTGAAAAGACCAAAGTAAAAAAGGTGCTGATTCATGAACTGCTGTTAGCTGACGATGCTGCCTTAACATCTCACACAGAAGAAGGTCTGCAGGGACTGGTTAACCGCCTATCACATGCTTGTAAAGAGTTTGGTCTTTCGATTAGTCTACAGAAAACTCATGTAATGATGCAAGAAGCACCGTCCCCTCCAATCATATCTATTGAGGGTCATAATCTTTCAGTTGTTGATCATTTCATATAACTGGGATCCAATATTTCTAGTTCTCTCTCCATTGATGAAGAGATCAATATCAAGATTGCAAAAGCAGCAGCAACTATGGCTAAACTGAATAAGCGGGTGTGGAATAATCCCAATCTAACTGATAAAACAAAAATAAGTGTATATCAGGCATGTGTGCTTAGCACGCTCCTATATGGTAGCGAAGTGTGGACCACATATACCAGTCAGGAGCGGAAACTCAACAGCTTCCATCAAAAATGTCTGTGTCGCATTTTGCGCATTCGTTGGCACGACAGGGTGCCTAACGTGGAGGTCTTGGAATGTGCACACATGTTTAGCATATTCTCTTTTCTTATCAAGAGACCTCTTCGCTGGTTAGGTCATGTACTGAGAATGGAGGAAGGACGTATCCCAAAGATTCTGCTGCATGGAGAGTTAGCACAGAGGACAAGGCATATTGGACGACCGCGCCCGAGATTTATTGACGTTTGCAAATGAAGCATGAGGGAAACCAATATTGAAACAAACGAATGGGAGTTCATTGCCGAACATCGCTCGAACTGGCGTACAGCAGTGTTTGGAGGAGTGAAAAAGGCAGAAGTTACTCGAAAAGAGGCCTTCGAATCAAAAAGAGCAATTCGAAAATCAAGAATTTACCGGGTTTCAACATTCTCCTGCGAGAGATGCGGCCATGATTGCCATTCAAGAATTGGCCTAATGAGCCACTCGTCAAAGTGTAGAACTATATAGCTACTCCATTGTCTCACATAGACAGAAGGATGCCATAATAATATTGCAAGAGTTACATGGTCAGGCTAGCTGATTCTTATTTATATTACTAATAGACATTAACAATGCTTATTTTCATAAAATATTTTTTTATCTGAATTTCATAATGGGTATCAATCATAGAATAGAGTTAAAATTTGAAGTTCATCACTATTTAGAATTGATAGAAAGCCACCCAAAACCCTAATATAAACCAAACGCACTCATTGCCGGTTTATCATAAAAATTCACCATGCGTATTGTGTTGCTCTGTACAGCCAACTAAGCAAATATTGGAGACCCTCCAAGGCCAATAAGATTTATAATCTGTTTTAAGTCTTTAACCTCAAATTTTTTTTTAAAACAACACTATTAACATCCCCAGCCTCCAGACATCATTCTTAGTTTCAACACTCGGACTAGATAAGAAATCACATCGCACCCCCACCCCTCTTGTATCAATTTAGAGGGCTACTGAAGCAATATTTTTCCGTGGTGTTACCTGTGATACTTGGCAATGTGCCAGCCTGCTGTGACACTCGCCACATCCTCAGAGTGCCATCAAACCCTCCCGTCATGATAACGTCTGAGTCAATGCTGCTCCACAGGACAGTCAGTAGTCTCCCTTCATGACCATTGAACACTGCCATTGCTTCGGATGTTCGCATATTCCAAACCTTACAATCATAAAAAGACATATAACAATGATTTAAAATAGGCAATATAAAGAAATATCAATTTTTTTGTTTTTCTGTGTCTGGAAAAGATATTTAGATGATTAAAAGAATCCAACAGTTAGTGTGGATGTGAGTTGAAGCACAAATTGTACTCACTGTTAAAAGGTCATGGTCATTTTACATAGCTCACAGAATTATGTTTAGGTTAATATAAACTGAGGTGTATGATAATCTGAGAAACTCACAATGGCCACATTGTCATATCCCACACTGACTAGCTTCCCATCATGGTGAGGACTCCAGCACATGTCTGTGGTTCTTGGGATATGACCAGACACTTGGCAGGAGACTTCTGTCATCTTCACAAGCTCAGACTTCCCTGGGACTTCCCTAGTAGCTGGTGGAGATTTACAGTTGATGTTTAGAGGAATGGACTGATTTATTATAACTAGAGAATAAAACTAGGGAGTCAATGTGGGTTGTTACAAAGAGGATGATCTATGCAAACATTAAGTAAATCTTTGATGTAAAAAAGCAGCAGTTTTTTTGTAATGGTTGATGATATCAAATTTTAGTTTACAAAGTTAGATTGACAAGTGAATTTAGATAGTAAAAATATTACTATTTTCAAAGCCTGAAAACAACACTATATATAATTAATTATATATCTGGACAAAACTGGAAACTGATTTATTTCATCTTAAAGTGAGAAGTAAAAGAATACATTATCTGTTATCATCTTTGCCCCTAAATTATGACTTCACCTTTCAGACATTCAAGACAAACATGGGAAGATTGTATAAAAAATTGCATAATGGCTTCCCATTTCAAAGATCCATTTAATGTAGTCATAACTCTTTTTTTTTAAAATTCAAATCGGTCCCACTTATATCAGAACACAGATGGAAATCTGCAACCTGAATCTAAACAATGTTTCCCTTATTCTGTGTCAATTTTGTTTAATAGATCTTTTTATCTAGCTATACAACAGTCATCAAAGTAACTGATTATCATATTCTGATTAAACAAAAATAATGATAATTTTTTGTAACTCACCCAAGATGCCAGAAAGGTCTACCACAGAGATGGGGCCATCATTCCCAGCAAAGGCCAGCCAGTTCTGACAGGGAGAACCACCTGGGGACTCCACAGTCGTATCTGGATGCCATTTTGTACAGTTGATCAACTTGCGGGAAGCTGTCACTTGACATAACTCTTTGAGTTTTGGAAACTGATAGATTGACACGCACCTGGATGACATTGGACAATGCATTGAAAACAGAGTCAACAAAAAAACTAAGCGGATTATGGGGTTTTGGAAAACCCAACTTCTGGACATAAAATTGAGGACCAACACCTAAGTTTTCAACAAATTTTTATTTCTTGTTTTTTTATTTGTCCTGTCTGCCGAGGAAGCTCTTTATTGTCCTGTCTGCCGAGGAAGCTCTTTATTGTCATGTCTTTATATTTCAAGCTTCCACATACCTTGTTCTACTACTTCCTTCACGCAGTCCTTCATTTATTAACAATAGTGTGAAGGTCATTTTAATTAAATTTTAAAATTAAAAAGAAGTTTTTACACAATGAGTAAATTTTAACATCCCATTATGGGGTACACTACCTGGTTGTTATAGCATACAAAGATAAAACTTTTCTTCAATAAAAATGTTAACAGCTATTTCAGAAAGGTAAGTCATACCCATTATCATGGCCAACAGCAAATGCAGTGTAATCAGGTTTCCAAGACATTTCACTTCTGATCAGCTTTTCTTTCTGAAATAATATTTTGAAATGTAATTTTGTTTTGCTCGGTGCAAAGTCTTAAGTACTGAATATCATGAAGATATAAATCTTTAACATCACTTTTTCAGGTCTCACTGATTACTTGAGGAGAGGGGGTGGGTGTCCTTGGTCAGCATAACCTTTGACCTATGTAGTCAGTGTGTAGTGATGATTAATAAATACAATAACAAAAGTTTATTGATGATAAAGCAATTTTAACTTGTAGAATGGTAACCTGATTGACCAACTTGGTTAGTCATGCCCCAGCTCAAGGACAGATAGACACTGACAATTTGTTAACACCACCTGGACCTCATCAAACAGATGCGGCATAATCAAATAGCTCATTCACTACATCATTGTTACACACGAGTTTAATACACACCTGTGGTTTATTGACAGATTCAATGGAACTGACAATGTTGAGAGCATTTTTGCCAGGGTCTCCAATGAAATGCTGAAGAATGACACCATCCCCCACACTGTACAGTTGGTAGCCGGCTAGAGAAAAATTGTAATTAAATAGTTCAGATATGAAACAATATAGAAAATTCATAAGCAAGGCTTCCAAGAGATTATAATTCTCCTCAGCTTTCAACCTATCCTCCTGTTTAGAATGGGAAATTAAAAAAGCTTTAATCTCTATAAGTGATTGCTTACTTCTGGTTAGAATGGTTTTACTATAGTACAAATCAAACATAATTTGGCTACAAAATCAGATATCAAACATAAAATATATTAGTTGGTACCAATGAGAGCTTAACCATTGTATGTTTTTTTTTTTATAAGTTTGGCAATATGTCATGGAGATGTAACAAGCTACTTTACATCAAGAATAACTACCAATTTTCCAAATTTTTAGAATTGGAAATTAAAAACTGATATGCACTTGATTAAATTCCTTAAATTTTGCTCAAGATGCAATCTCAGAAACAATTAGTAAGGTAAATGTTATATCTTTTTATAACAAAAACATAATCCAGATCTTTTCACTGAAAAAAAGACAATGAGCGCTGGCTAAACTAAAAAAAATCTTTATTGATATATAAAAAAAAAACTACTTATATCAAAAACGGAAGGATAGGGTCCCATTTTCACCAAGATGGCAGTGGCCTTGGTATTTCTAGATCCAGACGATATAGATACGGTTTTATTTTTAAAAAACAATTTTATTGATTAGCTATTTATAATTATTAAGACCTTTTTTTTTAATGTTTCTGTTTTTTTGTTTTTTTTAAAGATTAGTTTTCATTATTAAATTTAAAAATTTAAATAAATATCGTCCCAAATTGAAATTGATTTATTTACAAATGCACACAATATAATATATAAACTACAATCAGTTCAGTTATATTATAATTACCTGAATCTGCATTTAAAGGAGGACCCCAGCACACAACATACACAGTTTTATTATGGAATGTTGAGGACATGGTAGGGGGCCTGCAAACAGGAAACAATAGAAACGCTGTAAAAATCATAGAAAACTTTACATAAACTTTCTCATATTTATCTACTACCAAATTATTCTGTGATAATCGAATGTCAAAGAGAAATGCAATATTTGATAAATATTCTGGACCTGATAAATCTTAGAGGCTTTTTTTTTTTACAAGCTAGTTTTAGCAGATAAAGAAACCTAGACACAACTTACTAGCTAGCTAATGTGTTATAATTTACAAGGTTAAGTTTATACTGGTGTATAGTTTGCACCAGTGGTTAGATGGCACCCTTAGTTAAGGGTTGTAAGTCAAAGTATGAATGTTTGCTTGACCTGTTTGAGGAATGACATACATGGCCCTTTTTTGATGTAAATAAACTTTTTAAGAACATTTATGTATGTGTTAAAAACGAGTATGTACATTGTAATAAAATAATATTTCCATTTATTTGGATCAATAAAAGAATTAATCTTATTGTAACTTATCTAATATTTGTTAAACAGATCCAGAAAATAGAGAAACACAATTGTCATACACTACTTGTACTTTAATAAACATTTTAAAAAACAGTAAGCCCTTTGCTAGACCGTACATGAGAATGAGAGCAAGGGAGGAAATAAAATCCCCAGCATTTTCATATAATTGACTACTCCACAATAATTAACAGTCAGAAATATTGATGGTGGCAACCGTGATTTTTAACAAAATTTCGGGTACAGAAAGTGCAACATTTGGGAGTATATACTGGAGTTCTGATAGGTCATCTCATTACAACTTGATTGCTAATATGTAGATTTTACAAGCTAGTTCTAGCAACCAAACTATCTCACCACAACTTACTTGCTGCTGGCTAATGTATTGTAAACACCAACTCTGCCATCATCAGTGCCATACGCCAGCAAACCTTCTTTCTCAGGATGCCATGCAGCCTTAAGCAAAAGTGAAATTTAAAAAGAAAATGTTGACCAAAAAAATATGTTGCCTAAATACAAAATGGACAGTAGCAATATTGTATTGTTTACTTTCAAATCAATTCATAAAACTCAATAATAAATATCTGGTGAGAGATATTCAAGAACAATTTTTAGAGCTGGAACTATTAATGAGACTTTTATTTTGCAAATGTAAGTGAAAATCCATCCCTGTGGCACTCCAGCACATGTATGGCTTTGGCGTGCCTCACCACTTCCTTCCACTCAGACCTAACTTATGCTTTTCTTTTTCATGCATAGATTCTCAACTGCTGTAGATATTTCTCCAAATCATCCATCCCTCTAAGCCTAGGTTTGCCTTTTGAGCCATTTTCCTCTGGGGTTTTGGTGGTGCACCAAAGTCCTCAGTCATTCTTTCTAAGTCTTCCTCCCGGCGCAACCTGCCCTTTTTTATTTCTGCTACTAGCGTGGGATCCTGATATAGACTTTACAATTCCTGTTTGGTTCGCAGCTTCATCCATAGTCATCCTTTGTTGGTCCATAAATTTTCTGGCAAACTTTTCTCTCCCATGGGTTTCCCTCAGAAAGTATCCTGTTAACAATCCTCTCGTGGCAATATCTATGTTTCTTATAACTCTCTCTAATGTTAGGTTAAATAGCATACAAGACAATGAGTTTCCTTGTCTTAAGCCTCGTCTAATCTGAAATTTCATTGCATAGTCTCCCTGAACCTTGACTTTGCTTTTTGAGTTGTTTGATGTTACATGTATCTTGTCAGTTTGTTGGGTATGCCAAACTCCTGCACAGTCTCATATAGATATTTTCTTTTGGTGCTGTCATAGGCCATTTTATAGTCTACATACAGTTGATGTACTGGGATATTATATTCGTAACATATCTCCAATAGGCAGTTGATGGTGAAAATCTGATCATTCGTTGATCTGTAATGTGTGAATCCACATTAGTAGTTATCTAGAATTGTTCATTGTACAGTTGTAGTCTTTTGGCATATAGTTTTGTCAGTATAGTGTATGTAACATTTAATAGTGAAATTCCGTTTTAGCTTGTGCATGTAAGTTTGGAGCCTTTCTTGTGTATTGGGGGTTATTAATGCTGTTTCCCATTCTGTTGGAATTTTCTCTTTTTGTTAATAGTGAAATTCCGTTTTAGCTTGTGCATGTAAGTTTGGAGCCTTTCTTGTGTATTGGGGGTTATTAATGCTGTTTCCCATTCTGTTGGAATTTTCTCTTTTTGTTAAAAGTTTATGTGTAAACTTTGTTAATATTGTTACATTGTTAATATGCTCGTCCCAGCAGGATGCAGGTACATTATGGAGGATACTGGCTCAAGTATATAGCCATGCAGTTTGTATTGGTAGTGTAAAGGAGAACAACTTCTAGAGACTGACAGTGTCTGGCACTAGGCAGGGTGAAATTCCATGTCACAATTCATCTCCCACTCAGCTAACCAATTGAGATCCTGTTGTAGCTGGTTCTTGTCAGATCTGTTGGCAATCATCCCATTCACCGCTGTGTCATCTGCGAACAGTCTTGCTTGGGATGTCAGTTTCTCGGGTAGGTCATTAATGTATGCTAGGAACAAACAGGGGCCTAGCACGGATCCCTGGGGGACCCCTGACTTCACACCGAAAAAGGAGGAGCTTGTACCGTCCACCACTACTGCTTGGCATCGGTTGCTGAGGAAGCTAGAGATCCATTTTTTAGTAGTGCCTTGGATCCCATATCTCTGAAGTTTGTGTAGAAGCAAACTATGATTGACACTATCAAATACCTTTGAGAAGTCCATCACCAGCACATCAATTTACTTGATGTTCTCCAGATTGGTCATCAAGTCTTCTACAAATTGTGGTTTTTCAGAGAATTGATTTCTTCTATAGTTCTTCCAAAGTTGGGGAGTTTATTAATGGGTCTGGTCCTCCATGTTGTGATTGATCATCTTCATCTAGTCCATTGTCTGCATTTAGTATGCCCTCAAAATATTCAGTGCACCTCTCGAGTACTTTACTATTTTCCTTAATTAATTCTTCATCATTTGAGGCCTGGCTTGGTATCCATTCTTTTCGTCTTTATCTTCATGTCCATTCTTCGGATATTTCCCTCTCTTGATAAGTCTTCTATTTCTTTAACTTTAGTATTTTCCCATTCCCTTTTTATCTTCCTAGACATTTTAATGGCTTTCCTTCTGTGTTTGTCTTGTCTTTCTGGTTTCTTCTTCTTCTATGTATTAAGGGCCCACAATCACTTTATTTATCATTTTGTTTGTTTCCCTTTGTATCATGGTCATTCATGCCTTGTTCCTTTCTTTGACAGTCTCTCTGCATTCATGATCAAAACTAAACCTTCTCTATCTACCGTTAGTTTGCTCAAATCCTACTACTTTTTCTACTGATCTTTTCATAGCATTTTTAATCCTATCCCATGGTTCATTTATGTTGTTTTCCCTGTTTATTTCCTCCTGTAAAGCTTCTAGTTACAGTTGTGTTTTTATTTCATATTGGTAAGCTGTTACGGTTAGTGGGTCTTAGGTAAGTTATGGTTAATCCTATCATTTTTCTATTTGATTTCGGCCATTGTAAATTATGCTTATTCTCTGCCTATATTAACCCTTACAAGTAGATGATCAGAGACTGCATCTGCTCCTTGATAACTTCTGATGTCTTGTATGTCTGATCTATGCCTCTGATCGAGTAGAGCATGGTCAAATTGGTTGTATTTCCATTTTTGTGAGGAAACTTTGTGCTGCTGTCATCCCTGTGAGTCTATGAGTCGGATCTCATTGTCCCTGGATTCTTCATGTAGACTCTCCTTGCTAATAATTGGCATTAACACTTTTTCTTTCCCTATTTTGGCATTTAAGTCGCCAATCCCTATTTTAATATAATGTCGTGATGCCTCATCATAGATCTTTTCCAGCGTCTCATAAAAGGATTCTTTTATCTGCCCTTCTACATCTTCAGTGGGAGCATGAACATTTATAAATGTTATATTTTTCCTCACACAAGCAAAGAGTACAATCTTTCATTCCTTCTACATCTTCGGTGGGAGCATGAACATTTATAAATGTTATATTTTCCCTCACACAAGCAAAGAGTACAATCTTTCATTCCTTCTACATCTTCGGTGGGAGCATGAACATTTATAAATGTTATATTTTTCCTCACACAAGCAAAGAGTACAATCTTTCATTCTCAGGTTGAAAACCTATGACCACACCCACGGCTTCTTTCTAATTTTTAAAAAATTAAAATATTGTCCATTTCAAATCTTTCAAAGAAAATGTAACTTACTGATGTGATCTTTGATCTTATTCCATAGAATAAGTTTGAAATGTCAAATAGGTTTGATTTGTTGCTCTGGTTCCAAATTCTTATTGTGTTGTCTCCCGCCCCGATTGCTATACGACCTGATGGGATAGGAAAAACAACGCCCCAAAGTTTAATGCATGGTGAAATAAACACAAATCTTGATGAGATTGAGCATCTGAGCTAAACCCAAAACGAGAATTAGACAAATATTAACATAAGCCTTCCACCACTAAATACAACAGCTTTTACCAGAAAGGGAGAGTACTCTGTGTAAATAAGGATGATGAGAGTAAAAATTTAAAAGAATACAATTATTAGGTAATTTTCTGGAGGAAAATGACACTTTCTAAAATTATTGTTAGATGATTGTTACGCAAAAAAAAAATATCTAATAACTTTTTTAAGTGATTTAAAATTTTTAGTTAAATGTTTTGTTGCGCCCTTTTTTCAGGTTTACCCCTATCTTGTAAGAAATATTTCCTTGAGTCAACTGTTGCAGTTATCATAAATCATTTGAAAGATTCACATTAGAATTTGAGATTAAGATTACATTATACATTATCATTGTCAGGATTTTTAATAAAAACCAGTGACAGTTTTTAAAAAAACAAAAAAAAATACTGTATTAAGAAGTGTAATATAATCTCAGATGTGAATAGTTAAACTCTGCATTAAGACAAGAGTTTCAATTAAAAAAATGATCATTTTATGTATTGAACCTGACTTCAGCTCACACTTACTATAATGCACCATGCATACAAATAAATCAATAATATGGTAGCTTAATCTGCCAACCACAATATGCCTCAAGAGCCAAGCCACTCACCTGGATCTAAGGGAGAGGCTTTGATACAGTACACATAGCCTCCAAATGAACACATGGAGCAGAGGGCTTCACGAAGACTTAAGCTCCACACTGTTATCTGTAAAACAAAAAAGTAAACATTAAATTCATGATTTGTAGATGCTCACCAACCAGTGTATCATCTTTTGACAAATATGTTCAGCCTTTGAAGACATCTTTCAACATTAAACAATCAGACCTGGTTACCCTGGAACTCACAAAATTGTACAGTACCATATAGTCAAAGTTTATGAATAAACAGTACAATGCATACAATAACTTTTGGCATCACCTGTCTAAATAAGGTCACTTCCCAAAGTAGATGACTGACATTCATATATTTATATGGTGCTTTTTTGCACAAAAAAAGCTGTCCGACATTGGCTTTTTGATAGACACGGGTGACTTCGTAAATATTAATGTTGCCATATCTAGCAATTTCATAGTGACGATGATTAACATCATTATGTGTTAATTTATAGCCTTTAAAAATATTTAGACACTTCCTCCTACCAACTCACTTGCACACCCGTATGCTCCTAAGTCAACACCAGTGCGTATGTAATACAATTATGGATAGTCCAAATTTAAAAACTTTTTTATATTGCAAAAACTGCATAATATATTTTGTCAACCGGTCTCAGCGTAAAATCATAAAAGACTGCTTAAAATTGTACAGTGTACACCAAAATGGTATAGGTAACCAGGTCCGACCTATTCAATTTTTAGTCCTGAAAAATTTGTATTATAATTATTCATTGTCATAGAAAAAGAGGTAAACTTCAAGACTAATAACACAAAAACCACACTAAAATAATAAAAATATTCTACTGAGTACAGCTAGAAGCTCAAATATTTAAGGAATATTTGTAAAACTTTAATTCCAGCTATTTCTTCTCTTGCTTAACATAAGCAACAACAAAACAAACATTTTAAAACTAAAATGTCATGTTAAAAATTGTAGATTCAATTTTTCCATATCTCAAAGAAAATAAGTTTCCCACACACAGAAGATTCTGTATAAGAAATTCTGAGAAGAAATCAACTTACAATTCTATCCATAGAAAAGGTACACAGCTTATCACCCACGCATGTTATGTTAAATATGATCTTGGTGTGTTTGCTCACATGTCTGGCAATAAATTTCTCCAGGTTCTGTTCAGATGTTTTGCGAATATCCAATAGATACAGATCACCCTGTGGTCTAAAGAAAAAATAAATAAATTTACAAAATATAATATGATTTCTATGCCGATTTTAAAGTATAATAGTGGTCTTGTGTGATTGTATTAGGTATTTTTTAAAATTTTAAATGAGATTGATAGACATCACTTACACACACGTTGAAGTACCTTTTTTTCTTATGCCTAAACCCAATTTCAGTGGACAAAAGATAAAAAAAAAAATATTTGAAAATTTAAAGGATCAAGTAAGAGGTTCCCAGACAATGCGCCATGGCTTCCTCACATGAAAAGTGTGAATGGTTAACTATTTAATATAATAATAACTATGTGACAGCTATCTGACTTCTGGGGTCTTAGAGTTAAAATAGTTTTAGGAGATTGTATCAACAAAAAATTGTTGTGGTTATGATTAAGTCAAGTGATAGTATTGAAAGTATTTCTTCTGCTTTTAGTTTTTAAAAAAGGATTGGATTTTATTAAGCAGAGAAGGTGGGAATTTATTTGTTCAAAAAATAATTTATTTGTGCTATTTTGTAAGTGCCTTTGTTGATATACTTGAAATTGATACAGGGTACCTTGGGAAAACATAGATTGACCAAGAGTGTAATGACTCAAAAAAGTTGGGGAACCTCTGAATTAAGTACCGGTACTAAAAATTCCAGGGGTAGGGTCATATTGAACTATTACATTTTTCTAGACACCAGTGCATAAAGCTTGCATTACTACTGACAGCATAGCCATAGACTAAAATGACAACAACAAAAAATGATTTCATAACGCTTGCCACACAAAAAAAAACATGTTAACATGTTAGAATTTCAAAGGACCACCGCCTTTCACAATCAAGAAAAGTTTTGTCACGAAAAAAAAACATTTTAAAAAATGCACAAGTTTTTATTTTTCTTCCTTTTTTACCCAGATGACGTTGAGACCAAGTGATGTGGCATTGATCTTGGCCAGTGAATGTCCATCCAAAGTCTTTTCCCTGCTGGATCATGGGGGTCATATCTGGCTGTTGATGATTGGGGAAGTTTCCTGCTGAGGATTTCTTTCCCCTTGGTACTACTCCATATCTTGATAGTTTTTCTTCCAGCTGTTGCAATTAAAACTCCATCATCAGCTAGAAGTGAAAGATCAGTGTCTGATTAAATTAATGAAAAAGACAAACAGCTGGGGTCTCTCTGGTGGTGAAGATGTATTCACCGGGCTTTTTGAGAAGAAGTCAGAACAAAGTGTGTTTTTTCCCAGACTTGAAACAGTGCTTGAGTGATTAAAAGAAAGATGCTATGAGATGCAATCATTTAAATAAGATTTCTTAAATTGATATTTTACTCTTTGAACAGTTAATAGAAAATAATTGAACTCTAATCAAAATATAATTTAAATAATGGACACATATTTATTATTTCAAAATGTTTTTAGTGCAATAATGTTCATAAAAAATTACCATCTCCGCTTCCATTAAGAAAATTCTCTCCTTTTATTGGACACCAACAGATGGAACTTATCTCAGCTTCATGACCTCTTAACCTTTGCAGTATGACAGGATAGCTTTTGGCAATATCAATAATAAGAGCTATTCCTGTTCTGTACCTGAATGGGGAGATTGGTTTCTGATAAATTGTTTGGAAAATAATGACAAACAATTTAATAGTATTGTAATTTGAATGTTTCTTGTGAGGTTACAATTTATATTCCAAATAATTTTGTGATGAATATGTTCTGCAAGTATAAAAAAATGTTAAAATGTTTGATTCTATTCTAAAGCACAATTTACAATTGATCATCTCAGGTCCCAACTGGGGATTGTGTATTTTTTAATAATGTCTTTTTTCTTAATGTATTAATTACCCAATAGCAAATTGTGAACCAGAGTGTGGTGACGCCTTTATGCTGCACACCATATCTTTTTCTAAACAAAAGGGTTTAACAAAATTGGTCTTTAATTTCCAAATGACAACAGTTCCTTTTTCATCAGCTGTAAGTAACAGGTCTGAGTTGCAAGTAGACCACGTCATGCACATAATCTTTCCCTGATAAATAAAGATAAGATTCTTTTATTGATTAAAAAAAATTAATGGAAATGCGTTTTAATTACAGAGTGCATATTCAGCAAATGCATAAATATTCTTACAAAACATACATTTGTAAATTAAATACAAAGACATCTTATGTATTTCTCAAGCAAAAAATCTTTCTCTGTCAATATCATGAAAAGTTAAAAACATATATAAACTTTCTGATCTTTTAAGTATTTCAGTGAGGTGGTATGTTTATCTTGATATCTGAGAATGAAGTTTCTCTAGTTATTAAGTATAATATAATATATCTTACCTTTTAATGATTTCAGTTTAGATTGTACCTTGTAAAAGACTTAAATTTAAAGCATGTCTGCATAGGTATTATTGACTATACCAAAGGGCATACCATCTGATTATAAACTCTGAATATGTATTTTACAGTTTTATCTATTCATAGGGAAACTACAATTCCCTACAGTGATTAATTAAATGATTGATTAAATAATGTGTGAATTATTGACATAGTAAGACTCAATTTTTATTGACATAGTAAGACTCACTTTCTCATGTCTTTTCTATTTGTGACTAATTATAATACAAATGAGTAGCCTAATGTAACCCAATTCTAGTATCATCTTTGGTAAAACTGGATTTATGGGGTCTGATATGTTAAATCATAAGTATTGACTCTGTGCCTTGATTGCCTTGCCATTTATTTTGGTTTGGGGAGAGAGCCAGTGGATGGCAGTGGTTTTGGCTAGGATTAGTTTAACATGTCCGGCAACCGGACGAAAAATTCTCGAGATATTCGTCCGGAAACCAGGTCACATGGCTGCCATAACAAAGTTGGGCGAGATATCTGTCCTTCAGTCTTGTCATAAGACCACTAATAGTTGATCATAAAACTGGCGTCGGAGATGCAGGGTGGGGGAGTGAGTATAATTTCAAGAAATAAGGGGGGGGGGAAGCAATGCCTACTAGAAGAAAGAAATACTGAGAGCCAGAGAGAAAGGATAAAAATGATAGCGAGGGTGATTAATAATTAAGGCGGGGAGGTCGAAAGTTCACAAAGAAATAGACCCTATATCTTAATATAGGGCCAATGTAGTGTGCTATTGAGGTAGCCTACTTCTCACGCAATATTAATAGCCTAAAATAAAACTTTTGGCTAATGTATAGAGATAGCACCCTGACATCATTTGCGTGTTTTGTCCCTGGTTCTGATAGGGTCAAAACCCAGGTCAGGGATAAGTTTAGGGTTCAGGTTAGGTTTAAGGATAGATTTAGGGTTCAGGTTCAGGTTAGGTTTAGGGATAAATTTAGGACATAAGGTCGCCATAGTAAAAAAACGTGGTGCTATCTCTTCACATTTACCAACCTTTTTCTACATGCCCGCCAGAAGAATATCTCCCGCACTATTTGTCCGGCCGCCAGATGTGTAGACACTGCCTTAGTTTAATTAATTAAATGCCTGTGGCCTGCCAAGATTTTTAACCAATCATCATCCTCAAAATAACATAAAAAAGCTTAGTAGTTGGCCATAATGATACCCCTCAATATATAGAAAAAATGTGCCACCAGAGTCAGAGACTGATTACCCACTAGCTTCCTTCGCCTACATTGGTGGAGAGAACCTTTCTGAATTTCTGATCATTTAATTTAAGGCCTAAGGAAAAGTTATCTATTAAGTTTCTCAATATTTTTTAAATTTTACCTTATGTTCATTGTGCATTTGAATTGTAACGAGTGATCGGATATCCCACAATTTTACTGAAAATTCATCAGCAGAGCAGCAAATCCAATGATCTGAATCTGGGGCCAAGCAAACTGACGAGATCTTCTCAGTATGTTCTGCATAACAGGCCACAAATTTGGGTAAAAAAATTCTTTTGTTATCTGTTTCTTGGTTATCTTCATTATTGGATTGGTGAGATCCGTTATAATGTTTTGAGAGATCATAAACAAAAACTTGGTTTTTAGCTCCAAAGGCGTACAAACCCGAATCATTCCCACTGCTCACTGATGATAGAAACCAGTTTGGAGAGCTTGGAAGAACTATTTCTTGCATTTTTTAAAACAGTATCTTATTACAATTTATTGAACGTAGGTAAAATAGGTAAATAACTAAATATGTTCAAATGAAAAACTGGGTATGTGAACGAGGAACAACCCGAACGCTTATCATGTATCACAGTTCACAGTGCTAGAGGCAAGTGATACTTAGCTAGGACTCAGAAAATAGTAATAGTTTGTTTCTTTAATTAGATTGAACTTCCCAGATTTTAATAAGTTCCGGTTATAATTCCGTTACAAAATTTAGTGTGTCAAGAATGTATATGCTACAGAATCGTGTTTCTTAATAATTTATGATAGGCTTATATTGTGTAATATTCAACCATGTCTGCCTACGGTAAAAAGGAGCATAAAAATAATGACTGGTGCGAGGCGCATTGAAATGTGATGGAACCCGTAATCGAGAGGAAGAGAAGAGCCCTACTTGCCGATAGGGAAGCACCATGTGCTAGTACACTACAGGCTCTCCGAACCGCAAAAAAATTATCACAGCAGACGGCCCGCCACTGTGCTAACACTTACTGGCTAGACCTTTGCAATCTCATACAATCGGCTTCAGACAACGGAGATGCAAGGAGCATGTACGAGGGCAACAAGAGGGCATTTGGTCCACACACGTCAAAAATAGCACCACTCAAGTCCAAGACGGGTCAAATTATCAAGAACCCAAATGATCAACTCCAGCGTTGGGTAGAGCACTATCTTGAGCTCTACTCTACAATGTATGTAGTTACTGAGACCACTCTCCATAATATTCCTGCCTTGTCAGTAATGAATGAATTGGATGAAGAGCCAACTTTGCAGGAGCTCGAAAAAGCCATCGATTACCTTGCGGATGGGAAGGCTCCAGGGATCGACGGCATCCAAGCGGAAATCCTCAAAAATGGAAAACCTATCCTACTTCAGCCCTTACATGAGCTCCTCTGTCTGTGTTGGGAAACAGGACACATTCCAACAGGACATGAGAGACGCCAACATCGTAACATTGTATAAAAATAAAGGGGACCAAAGCGACTGCAATAACTACCGAGGTATTTCTCTCCTTAGCTTAGTTGGAAAGACTTTTGCCCGGGTCGCCCTTAAACGATTGCAGAGCCTTGCGAACCGCATCTACCCAGAGTCCCAGTGTGGCTTCAGGAGTGGGCACTCAAAATAGACATGGTATTTTCGCTACGCCAAATGCAGGAGAAATGTCGTTAACAGCATATGCCTCTTTATATTGCCTTCATAGACCTGACCAAGGCATTTGTCTTGCTAAGTCGAAGAGGCCTTTTCAGTATCTTGCAAAGAATAGGTTTTCCCCCACGATTGCTCACAATAAGACAGTCATTTCACAAAAACATGCACAGCACAGTAACTTTCAATGGCACTGTCTCTGAGTCATTCACAGTTAGCAGCGGAGTAAAACATGGTTGTGTACTGGCACCAACGCTCTTTTCAATTTTCTTTTCGATGCTCCTTCAATTTGCTTTCAGTGACTGTGAAGATGGAGTGTACGTCCATACAAGATCTGGTGGTAGGCTGTACAATATCGCCCGCCTTCGTGCAAAGACCAAAGTAAAAAAGGTGCTGATTCGTGAACTGCAGTTCGCTGACGATGCTGCCTTAACATCTCACACAGAAGAAGGTCTGCAGGGGCTGGTTAATCGTCTATCACACGCTTGTAAAGAGTTTGGACTTTCGATTAGTCTACAGAAAACTCATGTAATGATGCAAGAAGCACCGTCCCCTCCAATCACATCTATTGAGGGTTATAATCTTTCGGTTGTTGATCATTTCACATATCTGGGATCCAATATTTCTAGTTCTCTTTCCATTGATGAAGAGATAAATATCAGGATCGCAAAACCAGCAGCAACTATGGCTAAACTGAATAAGCGGGTGTGGAATAATCTCAATATAACTGATAAAACAAAAATAAGTGTCTATCAGGCATGCGCGCTTAGCATGCTCCTATATGGTAGCGAAGTGTGGAAAACATACACCAGTCAGGAGCGAAAACTCAACAGCTTCCATCAAAGATGTCTGTGTCGTTTGCACGACAGGGTGCCTAACGTGGAGGTCTTGGAACGTGCACACATGTTTAGCATATTCTTTTTTCTTATCAAGAGGCGCCTTCGCTGGTTAGATCATGTACGGAGAATTGAGGAAGGACGTATCCCAAAGATACTGCTGTATGGAGAGTTGACAGAAGGGACAAGACAGATTGGACGACCACGCCCGAGATTTATTGACGTTTGCAAACGAAGCATGAGGGAAGCCAAATTGAAACAAACGAATGGGAGTTCATTGCCGAACATCGCTCCGACTGGCGAACAGCGGTGTTTGAAGGAGTAAAAAAGGCAGAAGATACTCGAAACGAGGCCCTTGAATCAAAAAGAACAATTCGAAAATCAAGAATTGACCGGGTTTCAACATTCTCCTGCGAGAGATGCGGTGGTGATTGTCATTCTAGGATTGGCCTAGTGAGCCACTCGTCAAAGTGTAGAACTATATAGCTACTCCATCGTCTCACGAAGACGGATGGATGCCATGTATATTAAAAGTTAATCTAAAAACCGGTGGCTAAAACCACTTTCAAATTAAGTTTTTCAGTTGTGTACGAGTGGGCATCTCCAACGTGCCGCTCCACGGCCCGATACGTCGGACCGGGGAGGGGTAATTTGTGGGGGGGGGGCATAAGAGTCTCGACTCGCCCCGCTGACGCCATTTCTTAATGTAACATTTCAGTGGTGTACCAGGACTGATAAGGTTTAATCTGCATACCACTTTTATGGGCATAAAACCAGAGGTGTAACCATGATCCGAATCAGGGGTGGGTGGGTGCTTAGGATTTTTAAAAAAAATAATTTTAAAAATTTTTAAAACTAGTTTGGCACTGTTTGGAATTGGACTTTTGACACGTCTGTTCCAGACGAACGTTGGAGAGATAATAATAGAGTTTATTCAAACTATCTAGATTTAAAAAAAAAAAACAACATTATCCCCCTTCCCCCACACCAACGACTTACAATCAAAGATTTTATTTTCATCTACGCACAAAAAAATTACAATTTTATTACTCCACTTTCCTGAATCGGCGTTCAATGCAAACTCAAACATGTGCGCCCGTTAAATTCTTAATTTTTGTTGAAAAATTATATACATTTCTTAAAGTTTTTATCTTATTTAGCTCAACATACTCGTAATCTAGTACTTATAAAATGATGCTGATTACTTTATTTTTTAAAAGCATAATCCCATCATAAAATGTATAATAAACACGCTACTTTTCTTTAAAAGCTATGATTATTTTATGAAATATAAATTTAAAACAGAAGTTTGATACTTAGCAAGAACTATATTAAAATTAAGACATTTATATTAACATAAAGGAAGTTACAGTTAACACCATGCAAAAAAAAAAAAAGTTAATAATAATAGATAAAAGTACTTGAGACCGAACGAATTTCGGTCTCGGTTTCGACGCCGAAAGTTGTCATTTCATACCTTTGGGCGTATTTTCGGTTCCGGCCAAAACAGAAATGTTAACTTTCGGTTTATTTTCGGTTTCGGTCGAAAGTTATTAAGACTTTGCCCACAGCTGCAGATTGACCTACTTGTTCTTATAGGTCGGAAAATAAAATTGGAATTAGGCTTAGGAGAATGTAAATAGTTTTTAGGAATGAAACTACAGGAATGGTAATATTTATATTTTTATTTTTGTTTTAATGTTTTCCATAATATAATTTTGGAACTTTACATTTATTCAATTCGTTCATTTGTGACATCCATTTCGATTTGTTATTATCATGCTCATAACTGATGTCATAGCAAAGGTGCATGGTACAGTCGAACCCACTTGGTTACCTGAAATTTGATCGAAAGAGATTTCGTCGACGGTAAATTGATCGACGGAAATGTGATCGAACAGAAATTTGGTCGAATCTTTTTTTCAATTCACACGTTTAAATTTTTGTCAAATTTCTTTTTGAACGCACTTTACTATATAGTAAAACAAAATAATGCGTTAAAAAAGAAATTTTAAGCAACATTTTAACGTAAAAACTGAAAAAAAGATTCCACGAAATATCTGTTCGATCAAATTTCCGTCGATAAATTTACCGTCGACGAAATTTCTTTCGATCAAATTTCCGGATACGAACCCATTTATCTTGACCTCGGTTAACTCGCCAACCCTATTAAGTCGACGTTTTTGAACTGGAATCGCCAAATTCTCTCTTTGACTTACAATTTTCTCATCGGTTATTTCGATTCTTTTATGTCGCCGCACACTACATGGGCACAAAAGGGGGCCGAAGTCGCTACTTAACGTCGGTTATCTCGATTCTCATGACCATGACCAATCGCCGGTTTTGAACTCCGCAAGAAGAAATAGCAAACAACAAATAAACACGCTTTGCATAGTTAAAAAAGAAAAATTATTTATTTCTCAAACTATAGAAGTTCAATAATACCTATAATAAGTGTTATTAAGAACACGCCCACTCCTAATGTGGTTGGTGAGGTTGGAAAGCTTGTTATTTCCGGTTCAAGATGAGTAGGTCTATAGCTTAGCGTCATAATTTAAAATACAATAAAATTATGAAAGCAATCGAACCTTTCAATCGCCGTAATTTCAAGCAGAGTTTGGTATTTTCCTGACATACTTCGTGTTTCGTGATTGTGACCTTTAAATTAAATCATCATTTTGATTGGTTCCTTTTTCGGAATTCTGTTTTCAATAACACTTCCGATCGCATCCAAAAATAGCTGCAACGCTCTTGTGTATTAAAAAAACCCTCCCAAAA